TCATCAAATCTAAGATTTCAGCTCCAAGAGACTTCTCTTAACCTATAGTCACGATATGCAACTGCTGCAAGCAAAACCCGAATGGACTTAAGCAAGGCTATAGGAGAACTATTTCACCAAGGTCAACATTTAACCTTTGCTTTTAGCATTGCTTTGTATATATGGATATTCATATCCATATCGACCTTTTCTTTTGTAAACTATTTACAAAAGCTTATGAGCTTTATTCCATTAGGAGGCATGACCAAGGTCCAAACCTTGTCCACTTGCGTCGAGTTTCATGGCCTCTTGCTGTCTCTTTTAAGTCAACACTTGACTTTATTTTGTTGCAACTAGCAGGTTCATTATCTTGGATCACTGATTAATGATTCACACCTTCTTGAAAGTCGAATGAGCCTATTAGATTCACATAGAGCTGTCATGTCCTCAGGAGTCTTTACTTCCTGATCCAAAGTATGTCCCGTATCAGATATGGGATCAAACTCAGATTTATCTACTTGGTTAACTATATCTGTGGACTTTTGAACTCTTTCAAAATTCTATTTTACTCCCACTGTCCTTTCCTAGAGTAAACATTTTCTCTAAGAAGATGATATGTCGTGAGACGAAGACTTTCTTCATGATAATAGAATTTATATTCAATTGTCTCCTTTGAATATCTCACAAATATGTATTTATCGGATTTAGTCTCAAACTTATCCGATTTAAGGCGCTTCAATTAAGCGTCATGGCCCCAATCTTTCATATAAGATAAATTGGGACTATTGTCTTTCCATAACTTGTATGGAGTTCTATTAACCAATTTAGATGGGATATGGTCTAGTGTGTTGCACACTGCAATCAATGCGTGATCTCAAAACAATTTTTGAGAAATTTGCATGGCTCGTTATTAATCGCATTATATGTAATAATTAACGATTTCTCCTTCTAGATACACCACCTTGCTGCAGTGCATATGAAGGAGTCCACTGCACGAGAATCTCATTCTCTTTTAGATAATCTAAATTTTATCTTTAAGATACTCTCACTTGATCGAATCTTAATGTGAAGGTATCTTTACCTATTTGTTTCTCTAATTCTAGTGTGAATCCCTTAAACTTTTCAAGAGTTTCATGTTTGAATTGTCATCAAGAATACATGATCATTGATGAAATAAGAGAAACATTACCTGACATCTTTTGACATGAGTCCATATGCATCACTATGCATTAGACCAATAATTATGCTGATCTTTCTTCTTTTCAAATAAAAGAAGATTTGGTCAATGTACCAAACATGCATAATTTGTTTTTTTTGTCAAAATCAATTAATCCCAAGTATACATCTTTATGTAACTTTGGAATTACATTTCATCCAAATGACAAAGTCTGTCATGCCAGATTTTGGTAATAATTAGATTATAGTATTTATGCCTTATAATTCCTATACTTATTATAGAATCTTTAGTATTAAAGAATATAAATGTCGTTTTATAATTTACCATAGCCATTAGGATCTTTAACGAGATAAACAAGAACAACAATTGTCCTTAACATTAAAATAGTTCATGTCTGAACATGAAATTCATTTTAATGTTCTAGCTATAGTTGGCATAAAATGACATTTCTGTAATTTCAATACTAAACCAAAAGGCAATGGTAAGAAGTATATTCATACAGGTAATGTAGCAACATTTGCTCATCTCCAACGTGTATGTCAACTTCTCCCTTTCACAGTGGTCTACTTCTTTTTAGTTTCTCCATATTTGTATAAATACGATATTTACACCTGGTATCATATACCTAAGAAAGTCGCGAAGTAGACGTAAGCCATACAATATTCCTTCCAATGACCTTTCATTTTATAATGAAACCAAGGGTCATTAGATTTGGTATTTGTCCTTTTGCTTATACTGTCTTAACCATATTGGGTGCTTTTACAAAGCCCTTTTAGACTTCCTCTTAATATCTTTAGATGAATCAATGGGTTGTCCACTAGCAACTTTGATAAAGGGGTTAACAGTCCTAAGCATGTTAAGCAATTTAATATTTTTGCATTCGAGCTTATTCACGTTAAATTCATAATTAGTTGTGAATAACTTTAGCTGACAGAGATTACAGAACCAAGTCACTACTTAGTTCATGGTTTATGATTGAATACAGTTGAGACATTTCTCAACATCAATCATCTTCAGTGTCTAAGCATCGATTGAAGATTACTCTGACATTTTGCACCGGTATAGTTGTTTGGAAGTCTCATATCCTTCCACACATGATTATTATCATACAACTCTTTGTAATGAAGAATTATGTGTTAACATCTATACTCTCGAGTTGCTTTTGTAACTCAGTGACATAGTTGCAAGTATCATATACGTTGCAGTACTATTATCATCACTGCGTTTACTATAGTAGCCACCTCTTCCTTAATCGAGTCATCACCAGGTGTCTCTGGAAGGGGCTACTCAAGGACGTGACCAACTTTCTCATGCATAAGAATAATTTTCAAATTGCAGTGTCAATTAAGAAAATATAGTTTGGTTGTTGGCATCTAGTATGCCATTCAAAACATATGGTTACTCAGATTCAATATAAATGTAAATGACGAAAAGGAAAAGAATAAAATATATAAAATGCATTAATTAATTTAACATGGACTTTTGTTAAATTAATTATGCTCCCACTGTTTAAATAAAATTTATGACCCTCTCACATAAATTTATGGAATTCGTGCTTGACTCCCAGTGGGCTGGGATCCCATCTATTATATCAAGACCTTGAGTGTACTCAACAAACCCTAATATAATATTTGGGTAGATACTATTATCAATTGTATTTCCATATAACTCCCAGATC